GAATCGAAGGCTCTGAAACGTCGGCCGTCTCGGTACGGCAGCCCGTCGGGCCGCCCAGACGGTGCCGCTGGTGTCCCGGAATACCCCGCTGGACCAGAACCAGCCTGCCGGGTCGGGACGCGATACACCGTCGACCGGTCGCTCTATTCACTCCACGGCAGCGCGCTAGAGTGCTGGTAGCGCGCCGCGCGGCCTCACCCCCTCAGGTCGCCCCTTGACCTTCACCGGGGGGAGGCCGCCACCTACAGGGGCCGGGACGTACGGGCGTATTCCCGCCTCCGGCCCCCGGCTCGACGGCGACGGATCGGTGCGGAAAGGGAAGAGCTCTCCCTCTCTCGTTCCGCCGCCTCCTTCTGCGAGATGGTGGACTCGCAGAAGTCGAGCATCGCCTTCCAGGACGCGTCGCTGCCGAGCATCGTAGCCACGACGCGCGGCAGCGAGAGTTCCTCTCCAATGAAATTTGATTAGAACTATGTTAAGGATTTTTTTTTTTTACTTGCCCATATGTGTGGACGAGCTCACAGCCCACCTGGTGTTAAGTGGTTACTGGAACCCATAGACATCTACAACGTAAATGCGCCACACACCTCGAGATATAAGTTCTAAGGTCTCAGTATCGTTACAACGTCTGCCCCACCCTTCAAACCGAAACGCATTACTGCTTCACGGCAGAAATAGGCGGGGCGGTGGTACCTACCCGTGCGGACTCACAAGAGGTCCTACCACCAGTAAATACGCAAATTATAAATTAATTAATTATAATTTAAGTTTATATCATTGTATCCATTATTTGTACTTACTTACTGTTACTTAATAATAAAGGCAATTAATAACAACTATTCTAGAATTTATTATAAAATAGGCATAACAATTAATTATTTTAATGAATCGTTCTAGGTAGGATAGGTGTCTAGCAGGATCTCATTATCTCTCTTGACCTCTTGCCTGATCCATTAGATGGATCTTTTTTTTTTTGTTATTCACCCAATTTTATCATTAATTGTTTCTAAATTTAAGATCGTTTTAATTTATTATTCACCACTAAATGGAACTAAATGGTTTTATAGTTTAATAGAAGTGAAGTCGTCGTGGCCTAAGGGATAAGACGTCCGGTGCATTCGTGTTGAGCGATGCACCTGTGTTGGAATCCCGGGCGAGTACCAATTTTTCTAATGAATTACGTACTCAACAAATGTTCACGATTGACTTCCACGGTGAAGGAATAGCATCGTGTAATAAAAGTGAAACCCGCAAAATTATAATTTGCGTAATTACTGGTGGTCGGAAGGACCTCTTGTGAGTCCGCGCGGGTAGGTACCACCGCCCTGCCTATTTCTGCCGTGAAACAGTAATGCGTTTCGGTTTGAAGGGTGGGGCAGCCGTTATAACAATACTGAGATCTTAGAACTTATATCTCAAGGTGGGTGGCGCATTTACGTTGTAGATGTCCATGGGCTCCAGTAACCACTTAACACCAGGTGGGCTGTGAACTCGTCTACCAATCTAAGCAATAGAAAAAAAGAATTAAATTCAATGAACTAAAAATCATGGGAATGAAAAGCAATGCACTGCTCTGCTTTGGTTTT